AGGGAAATCCTCTGTGTTTTCAATCTGATTGCCCTGTGAGATTAGCTTCCCTTCTAATTTTACAGAGGTGTTCTTTTACCTTTTTTCTTTCTAATAAAGTTCTGTTTCTTTTAAGAGTCTGACTGATTTCTCTATTGTCCTAAGACCCGGGGTTTGGGTCTGTGATCACTGTGTAACCAATTGGTTAGGATATTATTCTCAAGCTTCTCCAGGAAAGGGGGTGTAAGGGATTGGAGGGATATTTTGGGGGAATAGGAACTCCAAGTGGTCCTTTCCCTGATTCTTTGTTAAATCACTTGGTGGTGGCAGCATACCCTCCAAGGGCAAAGAGTTTATGTCTTGGGGAAGTTTTACCCTAATCTGGTAGAAATAAGCGTTGGGGTATTTCATACGGGTCCCCTCATCTGTACCCTTAGAGTTCAGAGTGGGGAAGGAACCCTGACAACACAGTAGAGGATTTTAGGGCAGTGGCCTTTACCAAGATGTTTTTCCTTACAGAGATTCACTTTTCTTCCTCCCTTAAATAGCACTCTTCAGCAAGATGGCTTCTCCTTTCAGTCAAATCTAGATTTGAACACTGATAGGTCAGAAGAAGCCCTTGTCATTAGAGTTCCCTTATAACTTAGTATTTACACACTGCAAATATTCTTGCTTTTTTTGTTTCTGACTAAATAATGTTTAAGCACACTCTAACTTGGGTCTGTTGCTACTTAATGTTGGTTTTAAAGGTCTTCTATCTATCTTCAGTGTATGACAAGTCTGATTTTTTAAAATATTATTTCTATCGTGTCTGTCTTCTCACACCTTGACCAGTTTTCTTTCTCAACAATGAATGAATGAAAGGAGTTTAAGGATGATTATTCAACATTGTCAAAACTATCATGAAGAGTTTTAAGATGTGAAACATCGTCCATTAGGACAACGCTCTTCCTGGTATTACTGCCCTGCTCATGCCTTTTACTTTCAGAACAAACATACGGTACAGACTGGATAGTCAGAATTCAACTGATAGAATAAGCTGTTGAAATTGAAGGATTTTTAGCACTTAGCTGGAATCGGAGAAGTCTCTATTAATGGGTTCAGGAAGACATCTTATGTGTCACCAATGTATTTGGCTGTCCTGTTCTGAAAGGAGGGCAGAAGAGCCAGTACATATATGCTTGGATTCTTGTGAAAATGTAACACACTAGCTGTACTTCTGTCTTAAGAGGAATTTGTTATAGGTGTAGATTTAGAAGTGCAGATGAACCCCTGGTAGTGGTGATGATCCCAGACCAATGAATATATGTGGGGAGAGTACAATGGAGGATTAATACTGTGCAGAATAGAAGTGAGAAGTGTTTATATATGTGCTATTATGGCCATCTTTTTCTTTAACCTCATGATTTTCTTTAGAATGTTTCATATCTTTTCACTCAGGAGAGATGGATTTGTCAGAGTTCCTATCCAATCATAGCAGCAAAGAAGAAGTGCATCTGAAGAAGTGGAGCTTATGCTCCAATACGTCTGTTAGTCTATAAGTTGCCACAGAACTCTTTGCCACTTTTACACATCCAGACTAACACGGCTACCCCCTGATACTATCCAATCATAGAAATCTGTTTGTTTCATATATTTTTCCTGATGACATTGTTGCTGATCTGTAGCAGCATGAGATAACACTGACCCCTGTCATAAATATAAAGGGAAGGGTAAACACCTTTAAAATCCCTTCTGGCCAGAGGAAAAACCCTTTCCCCTGTAAAGGGTTAAGAAGCTAGGATAACCTCGCTGGCACCTGACCAAAATGACCAATGAGGAGACAAGATACTTTCAAAGCTGGAGTGGGAGAGAAACAAAGGTTGTCTCTGTCTGTGTGATGTTTTTGCCAGGAACAGAAAAGGAATGGAGTCTTAGAACTTAGTAAGTAATCTAGCTAGATATGCATTAGATTCTGTTTTGTTTAAATGGCTGATAAAATAAGCTGTGCTGAATGAAATGTATATTCCTGTTTTTTGCATCTTTTGGTAACTTAAGGTTTTGTCTAGAGGGATTCTCTGTTTTGAATCTGATTACCCTGTAAGGTATTTACCATCCTGATTTTACAGAGGTGATTCTTTTACTTTTTCTTCAATTAAAATTCTTCTTTTAAGAACCTGATTGCTTTTTCATTGTTCTTAAGATCCAAGGGTTTGGGTCTCTGTTCACCTAGGCAAATTGGTGAGGATTTTTATCAAGCCCTCCCCAGGAAAGGGGGTGTAGGATTTGGGGAGGATTTTTGGGGGGAAAGAGGTTTCCAAGCGGGCTCTTTCCCTGTTATATATTTGTTAAACACTTGGTGGTGGCAGCAATAAAGTCCAAGGGCAAAAGGTAAAATAGTTTGTACCTTGGGGAAGTTTTAACCTAAGCTGGTAAAAATAACCTTAGGGGGTTTTCATGCAGGTCCCCACATCTGTACCCTAGAGTTCAGAGTGGGGAAGGAACCTTGACAACCCCTCTGATTGGTTTTATTATGTGATTCTTCACTTAGGGCCACATTGTTCACTCTGCCATAATGGGTGGATGAAGATGCATTGCATCCAGGTGAGTGGACAAAACATGAGAGTGTTCCCTCTGCCACATCATTCTCCTTTTCCCATGGTTAGCAGCAGTCGGTAGGCCAACACTCCGGCAGTGTCTAAGAGGGTTTGGATATTAAGCTGTAGACCAGGATAAGGCAGCTGTGGAAGTAGGTGGGATTTGGAGAGGGATAAATGCTATTCACTTAATTATCTCCACCATAAACTTCTCTCTCCTGAGGAGGATTTCTTGAGGAAGAGTCAGGCAGGAAAACTTCTCCATCAGGAACAGAAGAACAGAAGAACGCTCATACTGTGTCAGACCAGAGGTCCATCCAGCCCAGTATCCTGTCTTCCAATAATGGCCAGAAACCATGCTGCTTTGGGGCATCATCCAATGCAGGCAGACTGGCTTCCATGGAGCCTATGAGATTGACTGACTGGCTTTGGAGGATAAACCCACTCTTTTATCTGGGAAGCAAACCATCTCCCCAAGTCCGTAGAAGAATTCATCCTCCAGCCATGTGAGGGGAAGTTTGCTTTCTCCTGTACAGCAGTAGCCCAGGTAGAAGGCAATGTGGTTCCATACACAACTTCACCCCAGACTTTATTTTACATTCTGAATTAAGACATTTTTAGCCTTCCAAATAGAGAAGCGCTCAAGGTTTTTCTTCCACAGTTGCCTGTGTCCCCAGCCCTCTCTTTGCAGAAGACATTAGGCTTATTGGGTTTCTTCACTATTTTTAGAACTATTAGAAGTTCACTTTTGTTCTTTCAATGTGAGGCAATTCTGGTGACAATGCAGCGTTAGTAAACAGTTGTTTATAAATACCGTGTATTTGACCCCCATCTTGACTTGACGATTATGTGTATTGCAGAGGAGGTCAGAACTTTATTCTACCCTCATCAAAAATTCCATTATCCAGCTGACCTGTTGAGTGAAAAAAGGTCCATAGCCTGGATTCAATCCACTTTTGCTTTTTCTAAAAGGGATAACCACTGGATTCTCAGTTCACCCTTGGGTTCTGTAGTAAGAATCTTTCTAGCACGAGGCTTCCTGATATCTTATATGGAAAGGAAAGATAGAGAAATTTCAGGCCAATAGGGAGGGCAAAAATGGTTTGGACCTCATGTTAATAGTAACAAACTCCATAAAAAACATGGGTTCACAGATAACCCTTCCTGTTTGTGTGCCCTTGAGAAAGTGCAAGGGTATGCAACATTTTCAGAAATCATCACAGAAAGTTGTTTAGACCTCAGGAAAGCTGGAGCTTGTCCCCAATTTGAGGGACTGATTCACCTAAACTTGATTTTAACTCAGAGTCCTTTCAAAATCATTTATAACCTTATCTATTAGGATTCTTAATCTGGCAAAAAAAAAAAAAAAAAAAAAAAACCAGAAAGTATAACAAACACTGAAAGTCTTATGGCCTAAGTTCCAACTGAGTACAGCAATCTTATGGCCTGGTCATATGAATATGAGTTATGTGAGGGATGTGCAAAGATGTAGTCTTCACAAAAAATGAAGAATGATTTTTTTTTGGGGGGGGGGGGGTGAAACAAAGGTTTCTTTCCTTTATAAACAATATAATTTTTAGTTAAATAATTTTCCACTAACAGCAATTGACTGATAAAACTCCAGATCAAAACAAGTTATAAACTCTCATTTTGCTGCGTGAAAGTCTGTACTCATTGCTGGAAATGTCAAAATTTGTCTCTCTGAAATGTCTGAACTCTTGTGGAAATCTGCAAACATCTGTTTTTAAATATGAAGAATAAAACAACATTTTCAAAATAACACAAGTGACACAAACAGACATCCAAATAATCACAAACTCTGAGTAATTATGAGATCAATAAACAAACAATGGGGAAATTCTTAAGGCATTCAAGTGACCTTTTAGAATAAAGAGAGAAGGCTATGCATAATACAAATCTGCAAACAGATTACCTGCCACATGAATTTTATAATTGTTGCTCTGTTTTCTAAAGCACTTTTCATCAGCAGGAGTGATGAGTTCTTGAGTCAGCATGTTAAAGTCTTGTCAGCATTTAAACATTCTGCTTGCAGTATCGTAATTAACATAACAGTTTAATTACAGTATTGTATATAATTTAATAAATGTATACATCTTCAGTCGTTGTTGGGCAGTGCAGAAACCCCATGCGGGTAAGGCATAAATGCAGACCATGAAGAGAGAGGATGAGGACCAGCTGAGGTCAATTATGACCACTGTAGAGATTTGGCTTTCAGACAGAACTCTGAGTGGAGAAAAGTGACTGCCTCCTCAGAGCCCTGAGGAGAGGATTCAAGGTCACTGAGCTATTGGAATTCTGTAAATGGTTAAGCCAAGCACAAGATATGGTCAGGGAGTTAGGCTGATTTGTGTTTCTCTGGAGAGGACTGGCTCGGAGTCAAGCCATTCTCTTTTGCTTTTCTTGGACTGGATTGCAAAAAGTCACAAGGCAGTTTCTTTTGTTCTCCGCTTGTGTGTCCTAGAGGGGAAAGACACCTTTCAGTATGGCTGTAGAGACACATCACCCTGCTTGTGACTGGAAAACTAGAATGCAGTCAGAGAAAAGCTGGGGGAGGATTTGCACCTGACACAGAGGTAAGGGACTTTTCCACAGTAGGGCAAATAGTTCTGAGCTGCCAGTCATGTAATAATACTATAGTCAATGAGATGTAGTTACAAGAATATCTAGAACATGAATATGGGTTTGTTGAAGTAAAGTTACTGGACCACACTGTGTCCTTTCTTACACCTTGTGTGGTGTTATGGACTCCAATTGGCTTTCATGGGTGTAAGTCAACGCAGTGTTTACTACAGATATTTCACTATGATTGCCTGAAAATGCTTTGTTTCAGAGTAGCAGCCGTGTTAGTCTGTATTCGCAAAATGAAAAGGAGTACTTTTGGCACCTTAGAGACTAGTCTCTAAGGTGCCACAAGTACTCCTTTTCTTTTTGGAAAATGCTTTATTTAGTAGAAATTTTAACAAAGATCATTATTCTCTAATTGAGGAGTTCTCTAATTGACTTGGATGGGACCAGGATTTTTCCTCCAAATTTGTGAATGCCCACTTAACAAAGTTATTCTGAAATGTACAAAGCCCTGTGCATGATTTTGTTGCACTGCTTTGATTAAAATCAAGCTACATAGCTCAGATCCTCTGAAACTTTTTGAAAATGCATCCCCTTATGCACATCCATGTGCAGCCCAAGAGCTGCACACACTTGACATATCAACATCTTAACCTTCACAAGGGTAGTGTCTGAGAGAAAAATGATCACTTTGACCCTTAGCTTGACTTTAAGAATGAGCAACGAAGATTTTGAGATAGTTTGAGAACACTGTGGCTCCTGCAGCTCAGACAAAAAATGCTTTGTAAGCTCAAAGTCAACAGGACAAAAAGAATGTATATTCTTTTGGGGGGTGAAGGGAAAGAAAGTGAAATGTCTATGCAACATTAAGGTTCAGTTAAAATAGGAAAGTCAAGATGTTTACAGTAGCATTATATTGTAAGACAGGCCTTAATCCTACAAAAAAGATCTGCATGTGGATTCTGATCACTTCAACAGAACTCTGCATAGTTAATGGTCCACATGGGGTTTTAGATAAAATGCCAGTTTTCTTCCTTATCGCTGCCTCTAAATATTTTCACACTATCTGTAAACAATGCATGCCCATGGTACGGTGTAAGGATGTGAATAAACTGGCCATCTGATTTCAACAGATATGTCGAATTTTTTTTATTCCTGCTTTCCTTCTTAAGCATAACCCTGAATGCACAACTGAGGATATTTTAAACATGATTTTGAACACACAGGAAGCAAAATATGGCTAAGAAAGAAATAACGTCAGAATCTTAATTATTTTATTTCCTTATGCTTTAGACATTAATTGTGCCACTTTAAACATGAAACACTATTACTACAATGTTAATTAACAAAGTTATAGTCCAATAAAGCCTAGTACTGGACGGGAAGCAGTTTAGCCTTGCTTTAGGCTACGAAACTTAAAGTGCTGTGCACCGGGATGTGCCTGTATGACTTAATAGGGTTCAGAGGTGACTTTCATTCAAAGCAGAGCTCTTATCCTAGTTCTATTAGCAGCTTAGCAATACCACCATTTGGTTTTCATACATAGCATAGCAACATTTATTTTAAAGAGAAAATACTAAGACACACTGGCACAGCAGTCAGTACTCCTGGCAAACATGAGGCACTCTTACTAAAATGAATGCATGTTAAAGACAACAAACAGTTTTCCAGGTACTAGTGCATGTATTTCTGGAGCTAATACATTTCCATTATTTAAGTGCAAGCACAGAATGTACAGTATTAATGCTTACTGGCAGGACCCCATGGCTGCAAGGGCTTGATTGCACGGGCTTGTCTGTAACTGGCTGCATTACTTACTGGCCGAGGATTGTGGTGGATTCCACAGCAAGATTTGGATGTTTTTTTTCTACAAGAGGGTCTCTAGTTCAAATAGGCCACAAGATTTCCCTGAGTTAATTCGTGTGTCATACAGAAGGTCAGACTACAGGATCACAACAGTTGCTTCTGGGCTTTAAAGTACAATTCTAAATACCTTTTTAAAATTAACTTTTGTTCAAACAGTGTTAAAAAAATTGAAGCACATTGCTGTAGTTGGACCTAGGTTTAACTGAAATATGTAGATAATTGCTAAAAGCTATTTGTGTAAATAAGTGCAGCCTCACTGAGATTACCTTATGCTTCCTAAAACCACTATGTCTAGCTATGTTGACCAAATTACGTAAGTGCCTCATCGCAAACAACTTGGTTGAAACAATACATCATCAGAATCTGAGTGAAACACTTTTGCTTCTGTAAACATGTAATTATGTGGAAGAGGAAGCACGTTCAGATCCTGAATGGAACGATTTGGATACAAATCACTGTGGTGTCAGTCTTACCAGCAGAACAATGCAACATCACTTATTTTGCTTCCTCATCTGGCAGCATCTCATTTATTCATTATCTTGCTTCTTGCTCATTCTCAGCTAATTATACAAGCGCCTGTAAGAAGATCTTTAAATCCTTCATGTCATGAAGCAAGCTCTAAATCAAATTTAATTTCAAAGTAGCTATATAATTGATCTGTCTGGCTGACAGCTTCTTTAAGATGTTTGAAAACCTTCACAAATTATCTTGAAGTCAAGTGCTTCTGTGCACCATAATCATTGTATGTTCATGTTTTTAAGGAAGGTTTTCTTTCAAACTGAACTGGGCATAATTCAAAGTCTCCCCACTTAGGCAGTAAGGGTGAACCATTTTTACTTCCAATTACCAAAAGAACACACAATTTGATTTAAGCACAGAGTCTTCAGCTATATTCTCAGTGGAATGTCTGCTGTTGCCTTTGTACTTGCTTAAGTCAGTGTCTTTTGCATAACTCTGAATGGTTAGAATTGATATCATGATATAGGCATATCAATGAAATTCTTATGCACAGAGCTTAGCCTGGCACCTTTATAACTATCCTAACAGCTGATAATCAACAAATCCTTGGAACCACCACACAAGGCCTCCCTTCACTCTCAGTTTAGCTTTCTTCAGCTACTTGATTCATCTTGATGCTGTATCTAATGAGGGAACATCATTTAAGGTCACAGTGGTATTTGCCCCACCTCCCTGAAAAGTCAAGAGGAGCACATCATGCCACCAAACTATCTCTGATGCTATCGCTACTAAAAATAAAAAGCCAATGACAGCACAAATGGCTTCATTGTACTCATTTTGGTACAGAGACCTTGGGTTTATCCTTATTTTGCTGAAAGACACTATTGTTCCAATAGTGCCAACAAGGCAAGTTAATATAAGTATGTATTTTCACATGCTGAATGAGACTATATAGTTCCCCCAAGTAGGTCCCAAGTAAATGTAAGCAGCTCTTATATCAACTGTTCTAGATCACAATAGCGGCCAGGTTCAAGTGACACAACAATATTCTATCGGCCAGTCTGGGTATGTTCTAACTAACTAAAGAGGCATAATGGGCTATCTGGTAAGAGAGTCCCCAACTTGCTGTGCTCTAGAAAATTAAAAATAAGGGACTAATTTACCAGTCTGGAGCTTATTTCAGCAAGGGGCAGATGCTGAATCAGTTGTAGCTTCTAATAAAATCAGAGGGTGGCAACTCTGATTATCAACTTCCTAAGCAGCATGAAAACTGGATGTTGCACATTGGTATGTTAGCAGTGATTCTGTAAAAGAATTGGCCCTGATTCTGAGCTCCAATTGGTTAGATGATGGGCTGGGAGAAAGAATTGGCTACTTTGCTCATCCAGAGTGCTGATGGATTAGAGCAGGCAGGAAATTCCACACCTGGCTTCATGCTGCCAGCTGGCCTCGCACTGGAGGATGAAGATGGCACCCTAGGAGAGGGAAAGTATGTTCCTGTTGTAAAGAAGCAGTAGGACAAACAGCCTGAGTTTGGAGATGAAAGGTGGGTGCTGGGAGCAGCCTGGTACATGGAAATTATAAAGTCACACTGCATGCTAGAATCTGTCCCTGCCCCAAAGGGAAAAATAATCCCTTAATCTATGACTGAGGCCACAGGATCAGTTTGGATTGGTTGCTAATCTAATGAATTGTTTAATAATAACGCTAAATTCTGTGTATGGTATTATGAGTTTTACAGTGTTTTGGGGATATATTCACACATTTTAGCTATTCTGCTAACTTCTGCCTTCCCCAAAGTTGTAGAAGGGCTCTGAACTTGCATTGAGGGGTGGGTATCTGGGACAATCAATGAAAAAGGAGCCCCACTACACAGGTAACTGACACCAGTAAAACAAGTGTTAAGACACAACCTGTGTGTCTAACACATTTCTCCTTCCATCTACGTTTAAAGGTGTCTGTCCTCTGGAACAAAGGGTTATGTCAAATCTAACTATTAGTAAGGTTGATGCCTGTGGTTAGAGATCTTATATGTGCATTGTCTCCAACTGAACCATTGATTCCACCAGGTGTGTGAAGTTTGGCAGTATGGCTGCTCCCTGATACTACAAAGTGGAGGGTAGTAAGAAATGCTTGGTCTGGCTATAGCCCAAACCAGCTGGGAAAGAATTTTGGTCTGGGCCTTCAGTACAGAAGATCACGTTCTGGCTAACCAACTAATGCAAAAGTGATTTTGCTGGTTCCAAAAAAATGAAGTGGGCTAAAAAACTAATTACATTGCTGATTGCATCTGGATTTGAACCAGTGTGGTGTAAAATCTGTGTTTTAAGGTATCACTGACTATTACAAATTCTAGACAGAACTTCTGAAAAGTTTCTTTTGTTTGAAATTCCATAAGCAAAGAAAATCTGTGGTAAGCCACTCATTTCAATCCCAATTTTCTTTTCCTTATTAGGTACCTGCAAATGTAAAATAATCGTACTATATTTGCTTGGTAGCTTGATTTATGTTAAAACATCCAATACTCAAGAACTGATCAATGCTTTATTAATGTTAACCAACCGGCATATGTAAGGAAGCGTCCTTTATGTTGAAGTACTTATAATGTAACCTTTATACTGTTAGTGGTTTGCTTTTTTTGGTGTGACATGCAAAATATAATTTATAAGCTTCTACTTCGTTG